AAGTGATGGAAAGTGTCATCAACAGTTATCAAGCAGCAGTTGCTGAACAATAACCTCCTCACTGACATTCACTTTGGGCTCCAGAGTTACTCCGTTTCTGACCTCCGTACAGCCTTTGTTTGATCATGGACAAAAGAGTTGGACTCCAGAAGTGAGATGAGAGGGAATGCCCTTGAACTGAAGGCTACATTTGACCGAATGTGGAATCAAGGGCCTTTAGCAAACTGGAGTAAGTGGGAATTGGGGGTGAAACTTACTGCTGGTTGAAATCACGTCTGGCACAAAGGAAGATGATTGTGGTAGTTGAAACTCCAGGATATCTCTGCTGGAATTTTTCAGGAATTCAAGTGTTCACGCCATAGCCCAACCATCTTCAGATGCTTCATCAGTGATCTTCCCTCCATCAAAAGTTCTAAAATGGAAATGTTTGTTGATGTCTACATAATGTTTAGCACCATTTGCAGCTCCTCAAATACTGAAGCAGTCCATGTTCAAATGCAATATGATTTGGACAATATTGAGGCTTGGGCTGACAACTAGCAAGTAATATCTGTGCCACACAGCACAAGGCATTGACCAATTCCAACAAGAGAGAATCTAACCATTGTCCCTTGAGATTCAATAATATTACCATCAAAGAATCCTCCATTATCAACATCCTGAGGGTTAACATTGACCAGAAACTGAACTTAGCCAGTCATACAAGTACAATGGCTACAAACGTAGGTCAGAGGCTAAGATTCCTGCAGCATGTAACTCAGCTCCCGAAGGCACAAGTCAGGAGTTCAATGGAATACTCCTCACTTACCTGAGAGAGTGCCACCAACCTCACTTAAGAACCTTGACACCATCCTGGACAAAGCAGCTGCTTGATTAGCACCATATCCACAAGCATGCAATTTCTCCACTGCCAACATTCAGTAGCAGCAACGTGTACCATCTACAAAATGCACTGCAGAAATTCACCAAGGCTCCTCAGGCAGCACCTCACAAAGTCATGACCACTACCAGCTAGAAAGACAAGAGCAGCAGATACACGGGAACACCACGACCTGCAAGTTCCTCTCTCAGCCATTCACTATCCTGACTTGGAAATATATCTCCAATCATTCAGTGTTGCTGAGTCAAAATCTTTTAACTCCTTCCTCACAATATTGTGGACACACAGTGGATTGTAGCGGTTCAAGAAGGCGACTCCCGACCACCTTCTCAAGGACACGTTGGGATGGATAATAATTGCTGGCCCGGAGAGTAACGTCGACATCCGGTGAGTGAATAAAACAATCACGTGGCACTCTAGGTACAGCACCTGTTCACTGTGCATTGCAACAGAAAAATAAAACGCATGCAGAGTTGTCTAATGTCTGCAGACACAGTCTACTTTTGCACTCTGCTCCTGAACCGGAGCCCTCGATTCTCTGCTGCTGATCTTCAATTTTGAAAAACAAATGGCCAACCCACACAATGTTCAAAAGTTTTAGCAAACACCGGAGATGTAGGTGTATTACAGAATGGCTAGTCATTGCTAACGACTTGTTCAATGTTCCACATCTGACCGAAATATTTCTCTCGCCATATTTAAATCGCTTCCTGACCCTTCTCTGCATCCACATCTCGCACGAAGCTGTTCCAGGCCGGGTGACATTTTTCAGGCACCTTTTCATCAAAACGGGTGAGAATGTTATCCTCACATTCCATTGCAAACATTCCAATGCGCAGTGAACTGCGACAAGCTTGTCGTGTAACATTGTATGAAGTGTAAATGGTCGATTTCATTCTGAGAGTCACAAATTATCTTTTTTTTATTCGATTGTTATCGCTGGTCAAAGGCAAAACGCTTGATTTTTATTTTGTCTCTCACAGACGTCCGTATTCATGGAACAGATCACTCGATCCTTCGAACCTGTTCCACCATGCAATAACACCAGTATTGATCTGATGACTTCCCAATCCTGCCTACCCACTCCACATAATCTTTCATCCACTTCCCCATCAGGGATTTATCTATCTCTGCCTCAGAAATATTCAAAGACTTTGCGTCCACTGCCTTTGAAGCAAGAGACTTCCAAAGATTTAGGACGCTCTGTGAGAAGGTGACAAAGAGCGGTGGATCTGTTGCCCTTTGTTGGCTTCATGTCATTTTCCAGTCCATATGTTTCCTTCGCCGAATCGATCTGTTTCCACTCATTCGTCCTCCCTTTAACGTTGAATTTCACCTCTACTGAGGCCACAGGTAGCTTAGACCAACTAAAGCTGCAGAGACAAAGAATTGAGCACTGGATCTTCCAGAGGTATGTGAAACGGTGTGTCTGATTACAGCTGAAAACATGTATTTTTTTTATTGTGCTGATCAATAATTGGTCACTATGCATAAAAGGACGTTTTGTAATTTCACATGTCTTATGCTAGAAAGATTTCGATGTTCTAGTACGTTCATATTTCATGTATTTTACGCTTTTCAAAACAAATACTATACAACTAATGGTTTAATCTGGATAACTTTGCCTTTTGGCTTCTTATTTTGTTCCGTCTTCATATTTACTAGTCACCTGCCAATTTGTTGAAGAGGAGATTTGCTTCACATCTGCATTTGAGACAACGATTTCGTTGTTGAACATGAAAAGACCCTCCAGATATTTTCTGCCCCGTTCCGCACGTGCATCCTGCAGCTGATAACTGTAAAAGGATTCATAATGTAACCTTGCCGCACGTCAAAAGCAATATTTGGAAAGGTTTGGAAAATCCTGTGAACATAGTTGCCATGAAATGACTTTGGCTGGAGAGCGTTACTTCGCTGACTAGCACGAAAATCACACGCCAGTAACTTTGCCTAATCATATTTTCACGGCTCCTCTCACTATTTGTTTTGTTGCCATTACTCCCGAAAGATGCCTTGATCATTAGGTTCCACTCTTATGTCTTAATGACGTCGCTGTGATTGAGTCTAACTTTGCGGTCCCCTGACTGGATAATTGTTTCTCAATAACTGCATCTCACTCAGCCACTGGTTCTCAGAAACATTTGAAACAATAACCTCGAAATATTGCACTGATCTGTATCATTAATCAAACAATGACTTCCATGGTGTTATTTGTATTCACGTTAGTTAAACCGGAACTTCCGGTCTCATCAAACCGTGCACTCGATTTCCTTCCCTACCCCAAGTGAAATTTTGAATAAGGCAACGTATCACGAATTTCAAACGAACTTCTACTAGCTGTTTTTCGAACTGTTTATCTTTCTGTGGACAGAAATGTGTTGCAACATCATGGAAACGATGTCTCTCTACACCTTTCCCTACCTCTCTATCCATTCATATATATAGGTAGAGGATAGAGGTTGGTGAGCTCAGTTGGATGCATGGATGATCACAGATGGTCCGCAACATAGACTGACGCCAATAATTCCCCTACCGGCTGAGTTATCATTGCAGGACTCTACCCTCGCCTGACACGTGGTGACCCTCGAATTCAATTATCACCAGTTTCCACACCTCCTCTCCCGAGCCCTTTCTCTCTAATGAGAGACTGGGACTACGGCGACTTCACCTTTATAGGTAGAGGGTGTTATTTTGAGGGCGTTCTACATTGGTTTCGTTACGAATTTAATTCTAACTTGCAAATGTTGTTCGGCAATAAAATGTTTCGTTCATGTTCTCGAAGCCAAAACCATTTCATAGATGTTCCATTGTAAAAACGAAGTCCACCAGACGTAGATTACTGCAACTCACAAACTTCAATCTGAATAACAAACCTGATCATGATTATAATTCAACACAGTATCCAACAGTGTGGGAGTAGTTTTGCTTACGCTTGCTCATGAAGCCAGTGACACCAGCAGTTAAAGTATTAGCTTTTATAGCATTGAGTGGTTAATAGCTCCGTTTAGAATTCTTTTGGAGGAGGGAGTGGTGGAGATTGCCAGTTTCAAAATCTCCCCACCCCCGGCCTCATCCCATGACCAACCCTCCCTCTCATCCTCGCCTCCTTGACCTGACACAACCTGTCCATCTTCTCTCCCACCTATCCACTCCTCCCATCTCAGTGACCGATCCCCACCACTCCCTACCTGCACTCACCTATCACCATTCCACCTACCTTCCCTAGCTCCACACCTCCTCTATTTATTTCTGAGCTCCCTTCCCCCTCCCCCATTTCTGAATACGGGTCCCGACCCGAAACGTCAACTTTCCTGCTCCTCTGATGCTGACTTAACATTTTGCCCGTAGTTTTACTCTCACTACCCCAGCTCGGAGCTGTTTTTTATATTTTGGGCATCTGTTATAGACATAGATTTCCTTTTCCTCGGCCTATTGGCTAAAATGGCAAGGGAAATCGCCAGATTCAATAGCAAAGCCGGCTTGTATTTATATAGGATAACAAGGTGTAGAGCTGGATGAACACAGCAGGCCAAGCAGCATCTTGTATTTATATAGCAAATTAACATAGTAAAATGTTCCAAACAAAAACAAAAATTGCTGGAAAAGCTCAGCAGGTCTGGCAGCATCTGCGGAGAGAAATCAGAACTAACGTTTCGGGTCCAGTGACCCTTCCTCAGAAAATGTTCCAAGGGGTTCAGAGGAATGCAATCAAACGATAATGACACAAAGCCCCAAAACGCGGAAATTTCGTCAAAAAGAGGGATTTTAAAACAAAAGAACCCGGAAGGGAAGGTAATCACGAGTCAGTTCCAGGGTTTTGGGGCAGAGGCCGAGAAGGTCAGGCATAAAATACGGCTGCATGGATGAGGGAGAAATTGGGAGGGGGCTAGACTATGGGACGGATCGTAAAATCCAGCTGTTGGTGTGGAGATGGTGCCGTGAAAGGCAATGTGCAGAAGAGCTTGGTCTGAGTAACGGCCCAGACCCCAACTGTACACAGCAACTTCTGCCCCCATTGACCACAAAAGCACAATTTGCTGGAGAAACTCAGCAAGTCTGGCAGCGTCATGGAGAGAGAGAAACAGTGTCTTTCAGGTCCAGTGATCTTCCTTCGGTGAATGCCGAAGTAGTTCAGTTGGGAGAGCATTAGACTAAAAATCTAACGGTACCTGGTTCAATGCCAGGTTTCGGCAGGTGAGGCCTTTTGGGTGGCTCAGTGGTTAGCACTGCTACCTCACGGGGACCCGAGTTCGATTACAGCCTCAAGCGATTGTCCGTGTGGAGTTTGCACATACTCCCAGTGTCTGCGTCGGTTTCCTCCCACGGTCCAAAAATGTGCAGGTTAAACAAAAACAGAAATTGCTGGAATAGCTCAGGAGGTCTGGCAGTATCCGTGCAATTTCTAGTTTTGTTTCTGATTTACCGCACCCGCCGTTCTTTCGGTTTTTATGATGTGCAGATTAGGTGGACAGGCCCATGCTAATTTGACCAGTAGTGTCCAGGGATGTGCTGGCTAAGTAGATTAGCCATGGGAAATGCAGGGCTATAGGGATAGGGTGGGTCGGGGTGGGATGGTCTTCGGAGGGTCAGTGTGGAATCGATGGGCCGAATGGACTGCTTCCACGCTGTAGGAAATTCTGAATCATTGACCTTGCCCTACACTATGGTCGCTGTTGTCCACTAAGTCGCCTCGTCAGCAAAACACAAAACCCTCAGGGCCTTTGCAGGATATCCTAACTATCCACTTCACAGAGGGACAAATTTATGCTGGATTTATTTAATAATGAACAAAATAAAGCTACAGCGTGTTCTCTTTTTTGACACTGCCGGCTTCTGCTCGACCTCACTCCGGGTTCCTACACTGACAAAGAAAAGACTGAAGCTGGGAGGCGAGCAGGGGTTGGGGCTGGGGGTCTCGTCATTCCTAATATGTATTTCCAGCAGATTTCTGTTTTAGTTACAGGAATCAGTCTGCACCGCTTGGATTTCCTTCACCAGAATTACAAGCAGCCGCTGTGAAGTTCCGGAAGCGCCGTTCCGTTTCCAGTTTCTGTTCGTTCTCCGGGAGCGGGGATTTCTGGTTTCCTTACTTTTTTTCCCTCATTTGGTCCCTGTTAAAGTGGAAACAAGGGAGGCGAATAAAGTTCGCGCAGATTCTTGGTAATCGCTCTTTGGGAAGGCACCCAAGTCCGAAGTTTAACCAGTAGTAATCAAGGCTTCAAACAGAAGCGCACACGGCGCTTTCTCCTCCACGTGAAGTAATTGTCTTGAGTTACCTCTCCCTGGGCGCTAAAAGTATTGCCATGGCGTCAAAGTAGCCCTAGCAAGAATTTATCTAATCCTGTTAGATGCAGTGCTGAAGACAGCGCACACAAATGTTTGGACCTTGAATGTAGGGCTTCTGGTAATTCTGATAATTTTTACCTTGAACATTTCCAAATGGTTTTGTTTTTCACTGTTCTCCATATAACAATGCACCCCCATCGTCACTTTCCCCATATCCATGTTCCTATCATTGATTCTTCTTAAAATATGTACGGTGTCAGCTCTCATCCCCTGGGGGTCAGTGCGTGTTCTGGTTTGCTATCTCTCTCAGTAAAGTGTGAATTCATATCATTTTCCCCTTTGTGTGATTGAGTGTCTTTGAGTGAGTGAATGGGTGTGATTGAGTGTGCGTGTGCGAAAGAACATGATTGAGTGTGTGCCAATGAATGGCTGTAGAGTGAGTGAATGAGAGTGTGATTTTGAGAGTAAATGAGTGTGAATGAAGGAGTGTGTGCGTGAATGTGTGTAAGAATGAATGAGTGCGTGAATGCGTGAACGAATAGTATGAGAGTGAGTGAATGAGTGTATGTAATTGTGTGTGAGTAAATGAAGGAGTTTGTGTATGTAACTGAGTGTGCGTAACTGAGTGAGTGAATGAATGAAGGTGTGTGTGAGAGAATGTGTACGTGACTGTATGTATGTGATTGCGTGCGCAATCTCACCGTTAATCCATTTCGATAGATAGATTCTTATCACTTATTTCCTTCTGTGGCTACTTTCTGACTGACCTGAAATTGCTCACCTTTTTGATCCCCCTCTTATGATTCCAACCCCCTCTCTATCATTGTCAATTAATAAATAAACACAAGAAGAATACACGTATGGGTATTGAAAATTTAAAGCAAAACTGCACACTAGAAACGCTGAGCAGATCAGGCAGCGTTCGTGCCTTCTTTTCCTCTCCTCCTTTAAGAAACACTTTGATTGTTAACCGCCCCTCCGAAATTCCTGCCCTGTGGCTCGGCCACCCCTACTCCTCTGTAAAGCGCCATGAGACTTTTATCCGAGCGCTACATCTGCGCTAGATAAATGTACATTGTTGGCCCTTCTGCCCACGGATGCTCTGCTCACTCTATGTTCACATCCAAACGAGACAGCTGAACATATCCGGCCCCGCTAACTTGACGCTCAAGCGAGACAGTTGTATATAACCAAGAATGGGATTTAACGCAGCGCCTATTGGAGCTGTATATAACCGAGAATGGGGTTTAACGCAGTGCCCATTGGGGCTGTATATAACGGAGAACGGGGTTTAACTCAGTGCCCATTGGGGGATAGAGTCATCCTCATGACACCAGCTCATTGTCCTGTCTTTTTGCAGTGGCTGATCTTTGTTTTCATCGTCACAGATTTTTCCATGGACGTGTCTTTGCATTTTTATTTAAATTTCACAATCGGAGTTTGATTTGGGCGGGGTAAGGGGGGAGTGGTGTGAATTCTGACCTCTCTCCTGGTTTTGGTGCTGCATTTGGTGCCGTTTCCTCACAGTCCCTGTGCAGCGGTCAGCATCGCTCCGTGTTTTCTGGTCATGGATTGGTTACTGGGGCTCGGGGCTTGGCTGCGATTGGTGAGCTCGGCCCGCCCTCTTGGCTTTTCTTGTCCAGTTGCTGGGGGGCGCGGGGTCTCAGTGTGAAGCCGAGAGGGAGGGAGGGACGGACGGGAGGTTGCTGAGGAGCGCGGGAGCGATGCCCATCATTCACCAGGAGCGCAGCGGAGGCGCGGAGAGCCGCCGGCACTGAGCAGCCTTCGCCTGGAACCCTCTCAGTCGCCCGCAGGGATGCCATCGGCCGGCTTGGAGATTGTGGGCCTGGGACTGTGCGTCCTGGGCTGGCTCGGGGTGATGCTGGCGTGCGGGCTGCCCATGTGGAAAGTCACGGCTTTCATCGAGAGCAATATCGTGGTGGCTCAGACCGTCTGGGAAGGGCTGTGGATGAACTGCGTGGTGCAGAGCACCGGCCAGATGCAGTGCAAGGTCTACAACTCGCTGCTCGCCCTGGAGCAGGATCAACAGGCCGCCCGGGCGCTGACAGTCATCGCCTCCATCCTGGGCCTCATCGGTTTACTGGTCACTATCCTGGGCGCCCAGTGCACCAACTGCACCGAGGGGATCACCACCAAAGCCCGGATTGTCATCAGCGGGGGGGCTATCTTCATCGTGGCCGGCCTTCTCGCCCTCATTCCAGTCTGCTGGATGGCCAACACCATCGTCCGCGATTTCTATGACCCGGTCGTGCCGGTCTCCAAGAAACGGGAGATGGGGGCCGCCCTCTATGTTGGCTGGACGGCCAGCGCTCTCCTCTTCATCGGGGGCTCGCTGCTCTGTTGCTCCTGCCCCCCGAAGCAAGACCAGTCATCGTTCGCCGTCAAGTACACGGCCCCGAGGAGAGCATCGGCGAACGGGGACTACGACAAGAGGAATTATGTGTGAAAACGCAGATGACCTGGGGAGACCAGCATCGGACAACCAGGGGAAACCTGAGCTCCCAACCCGATTCCTTACTCCTGCTGATTTCAAGCAGTCTTTTTTTTATTTAATGGATTTGTATTGTAAACGAGAGAGAGAAAAAACAAAAACTGGTATTCTTTATGCATCTGCAGCTTTGGTTTAATCTTTGGAGACGCGCACCTCCCAGAGACTTTGCAACAAGTTAGATGTTAAAAACAAACGTCGGAGCAGTCGCTTGGACTTTGTACGGTTTGATTTGCAAATGGGGCTATCTGTCAGCAAGTCTTGAGTGAAAAGTGCGAGCGAGCCTCTGCCCTCCCTAGGTTCCGGACCGCATTCTGGGCCGGAGTGGGGGGCGGGGTGCAAGGTGCGGGGTTTAGGCTGGATTCATGCGCATGTTTCGATGTGGAAAGGGACAGAATGCGTCTCCGTCACCGCCTTTAGCTATCGGTCATCACAGCTTCAACCCAAACCTGGCATCAGATCATAGATGTAGGTCTCCCATTCCGCCCTCCTCTTCACACTTTAACCAGACTAAGTGTAGAGATCTGTCTCTTATTGCTAAACCTAGCTGTACTCAGTTCGTACTGTCCGCTGGTTGCTGAGTGCAGTTAGGCTTATCATTCATTAAGAGACAAATTTCGGCGCAGAGTGAGCTCGCCATCTGGTTTATGCGGCTGCTTGGTGTCAGATTGTCCCAGTTAGATTTCGCAATCCAATTTCTAGGCGATCCATTCCACCGACCCTTCTCTTTGCCGCCTCGGAGCAAGGAGCTGGCTGCTGTTTATTTTCACAGATTCACTTCCCTCCCCATATGTGATTCCTTTTTTCAGATACCCATCTGTCGGCTGGGGTCAATCCGGAGTGAGCAGCTCTCTCTGCAGATGGCGAGCTCAATATTAACGAGAAAGAGAGAGAATGGGCGATGGAGACAAAACTTGAGATGTAGCCAGTAGTGGTGCCTGAACAGTATTAATGTAGACAGTATTATTCATTGAGCGACATTAGCGCACTGTGGCACATGCAGAATATGTTGAGGATGTGACAAATTCCCAAGGCAGTGAATGTGGTGGAGACAGTCATTATTGCTGGCGGCGTTCATACTGGGACTGTAGTCATCATTGAGTGAGAGATGACAAATAAGTGTTGATGGTTGGAGCAATTTTAATGTCGCGATTAATAACCTTTTTTTTCGTAATCAACCCGTTCAAGAGATGTTATTACACACCTCTGGAGCGGGGGAGGGGCGGGGCTTGAACCTGGGCCTTCTGATCTAGGGCTTGGGACATTGCCACCGCGCCACGTCGACACATTTTTTTAAACCCCAGTTTTCTAAAGGTTTCGGCCACCCCGTTCCAATAATTTTCTGATGAAGGGTCTAGGCCTGAAACGTCAGCCTTCCTGCTCCTCTGATGCTGCTTGGCCTGCTGTGTTCATCCAGCTCTACACCTTGTTATCTCCGTTCCAATAATGATCGCTTACACTGCCTCTGCGAGCTGGAGGCTGAGAAGGCGCTACCATCGTCCTCATTCTACTCGATTAGGCTCCCTACATCTACACGAGCCACCCTCCGGCAGCTTCGGTCTTTGACTCAACTTCAGACAATGGCCAGCAGAAGTGGCCAAGTGAGTGGCTCGCCGGGGGCTTGTCACCATGGTTAGCAGCGACGCCAATTCTCACTAGGGAAGCCCCGGAACCGGCTCAGTCCAGCCCAATCCAGCAAACCGGCTTCGCATCCAAACCCCGAGCTCCAGCAGCACTTGAGTGAACCGCCACCGAGATATCCTGTCCCCCTGCATCAACCCGGCTTTGGGTTCGTTCGGAGTTTCCCATCTGAGACTCGGGGCTGCATTTTAACGTCGGGTGCAAAGCGGGACATGCAGAATTGGCAGCCAAATACAGCAGCGCCCAAATTTTGTCCTCACGGCACTGAATGAGAAAGAAAGTACGCAAGAGGAGCCAATTCTTTTTCGATCGTTGTACAGCGCCGCCCCAAAATTAAAGACAGCCATTTAAGGGGTTTAGCATTAATAATGCAATTTCTATATGACACAAGGCATCCCTACCTGTCCCGGCAAACCGCTCCAAATCCACTTTCCCAAGTGCGGTTGCAATTTGCCTGCCGCCAATCCTCGTACCCAATTAAATTATTCCAATAAAAGCTGAGAGAACTGTGGCTGCTGAAAATCAGACACAAAAACAGAAATTGCTGGAAAAGCTCAGCAGGTCTGGCAGCATCTTTGGAGACAAATCAGAATTAACGTTTCAGGTCCATTGACCCTTCTTCAGAACATATTTGAATAAGTTATTCAACTAAAGTCCTACATTGCCCACCTAAACCAGACGCTAACAAATACCCTCCACCAAGGCTCTTTTATCATATCTGTCTTACATTATCCCTTACTCCCAACTGAGTTGCCCTTATTTCAGTAGCAGGATGGTCCATTTATGCGGGGCACGAGGAGCCATTAAATTATTGCTGTCTCTCCACCGTTAGGCATGTTTATCCGAGTAATGGAATCTTCCTCAGGGAAACTGGAGGAGAAAAAGTCAACGATAAATTAAGTAAATTTGCGCTGTCCTAACCCATTAGAATGCATGAGGCGCCGCAGTCGTGTCCCTACTTCCGAGCCAGAAGATGCGTCCTCAAGTCCCTCCTACTCCAGAGCTGTCTCATCTCATGGTTAAATAAGTTGATCCAACATAATTCTCCTAGCCGCTGAGATTCTGCTGCAGAATGTGTTTCTGGATTGCGCTCCCAGGCTGGTCGTAAATTCCATCCCACAAACCAAAATTCTGTTGCTACAGGTCGCCTGTACTGTGTGGGAGTGTTCACCAGACTGGAAAAAACCAAACCTGCCGGTGTGAACCTTTGCTTTATTTTATATATAGATGGAATATTTGTGCTTCTACATTTTTCATCATCTGTACATGGGAATGGGGACTTGAAAAAGATATTCACCCTCTACGTTTTCCTTCCTAATTAAGTGACAGAATTGATCCTGGGCCAATGAATTCATGTCACTTCGAAGGTAGGGTTCCAACATTGAGCAGGACGTTGTCATACTGAGTTGTAAACGTTTAAAATGACCTGTATGCACCTTGAAGTTGCCCGGTCAGATGCATCTCGGTGCTTCACTAAACCCAACGATAACAACTTTACACTGCCTTATAGCAACATGGCTAATAATTAATTGCAACCCTCTGCCTTCACCGTTTGCACTTTTGCTAATGGACGCTGATCGACTAATGTACAGGTTCGATGTTTTCTATGCCACTGTGTACAATCTCACAATATATACATTAAAACAAATCATTGCTATTCCTTAGCCTGTCTGCTTAGTTTGTTGAGAAACCGCTGAACGCCTTTCATCTCCCCGTCAAAACTGTTCCCTGCTCATAGCGCTGTCATTTGGAAAGGTTGAGACGGAAGCAGTTTTGACAAAAACGTCAAGAGACAGGAGATTGTTACATTTTCTGTTTAGTATCATAGAGTCAGACAGCATGAAAACAGACCCTTCGGTCCAACTAGTCCACACCGACCATGTTCCCAAACTAAACTAGTCCCATTTGCCTGGGTTTGGCCCATATCCCTTCAAACCTTTCCTATTCATATACTTATCCAAACGTCCTTTAAATGCTGTGACTGTACCCACATCCGTCACTTCCTCTGGCAGTTCATTCTACACACGAACCATTCTCTATGTGATCACATTGCCCACCATGTCCTTTTTAAAACTTTCTCCTCTCACCTTAAAAAGTATGCCCTCTAGTTTTGAAATACTCCACCCTAGGGAAAGACTCTCGCTATCCACCTTATCTATGCCTGTCATGACTTTATAAACCTCTGTAAGGTCACCCCTCAAACTCCTATGCTGCAGTGAAAAAAGTCCCAGCCTATTCAGCCTACCTTTATAACTCAAACCCTCCCTTCCCGGCAGCATACTGGCAAATCTTTTCTGAACACTCTCCAATTTTATAATATCCTTCCTATAGCAGGGCGACCAGAACTTCACACAGTACTCCAACGTCCTATACAACCTCAATATGACGTCCCAACTCCTATACTCAAATGTCTGAGCAATGAAGACAAGCGTGCTAAATACCTTCTGTTTACCTGTGACGCAAATTTCAAAGAATTATGTACCTGAGCCCCTATGCCTCTATGATCTACAATACTACCCATGAATTGTATAAGTCCTGCCCTTGTTTGTTTTGCCAAAATGCTGTATCTCGCATTTATCCAAATTAAACCCCATCTGCCACTAACCCAATTGATCACGATCGCCTTATAATCTTTGATAACCTCCTTCACAGTCCATTATACCACCAATTTTGGTGTCATCTGCAAACTTCCTGCCATTCCTCCTACATTCTTATCCGAAACGTTTATACAAATGACAAAGGAAGGTGGACCCGGTACCGAACTCCAGTGTAATGTGATACCAACATCACTCCTGAAAGGACATCGCTATGGTTTGCTTTCTGTCAAGCTTGTTTTGTTACTGTGCTGAAGGGAGCTTACCAAATGAGTTAATACGTTTCATTCAGTTAATTACTTTGGCCGGAAGGAATAATTTCTGATGTTTTATGTGTCTCTTAAAAACTTGCAGATTACCTCTGCCCCTAGTTCACATCGCGGCATTAAAGGAGATGGGGAAATTCTGCTCCTAGGATAACATAAGACTGATCAATTTCCAGTTGTCGCCTTCAAAAGCATCCTACGTCCTACCGAATTAGTCTTCTTCAGCCACATACCAACTTTTTTAAAAATATTACTGTTTGCTCCCCTTTCTCTCAATTGCTGATGTCGCTCGGTGGTTGCAAAATTATGTCATTAAAAGGCACCCAATGAGTGTGAATACGTACTCTAATAAAATGCTTCAATATATTACTGACCTGGTGAATGCAATATTGTGAAGGGAACTTTTTTTCATGAAGAAGTAAAGTGAGATCCCTTGTTCTATTAGCTCTGTAGATTTAATCATTCATTACAGCAATGGAAGAACTGAATTTGATTTAACTTTCAACCACCGCCGCCCAAAACAAAATGGATTAAGTTGTAATTCGTCTCATTTCTGTCTATAGGTCCTTGCTGTGGGCAAACTGGTTGCACCTTAGCCACTACAACAACGATGACAAAACAATTCATTCACTTTGAGTGGTATATGTGCAGTAGGTTATTGGTCTAAGTGTTGAAATACCCTCTAGCCATATCACAGCCAATGGAGAAGTTACAAATTGATTACATTAATCTGTTTGAAAGGTAACCCAGTAAGTCTTAGTTGCAATTGACTGTTTTCCAAATGTGGTTAAATAGGAATTCTTTTAAAAAATTGGCTGTAAATTGGTTTTAAGAGCAAAAGCACTAAATGGAATTAAAGAAGAGGTGTAAGATTCAATTCCTTCTCTGTGATCACAAGCTGCAGGTCAATGTTTTCAAATACAGATTCGTTTAGAGAAAAAAGATCAGTGTAAGAATATTCAGAGATAGTAGGAACTGCCGATGCTGGAGAATCTGAGATAACAAGGTGTAGAGCTCGATGAACACAGCAGGCCAATCAGCATCAGAGGAGCAGGAAAGCTGACGTTTCTGAAGAAGGCTCTTCTTCAGAAACGTCAGGTTTCCTGCTCCTCTAATGTTGCTTGGCCTGCTGTGTTCATCCAGCTCTACACCTTGTTATCTCAGTGTAAGAATATTGCAACGATTTAGTTCGTGTTTTCTCCTCCTGCTGAAAGAAAGGAACAAAACAAAGAACGCAAAGAAAAATGCTATCATTTGCTAATTTTTTTTCACAAGGACGTGCTACTTTGATCGTTAATTCTGTTCTGTATTATCTCTAGTTATTTTTAAAAATGCTTTTAATTAATTTGGAAGTATTGAGGTTAACTAACCCACTAAATTGTGAAAATCCAACTTCCATCGTGTCCATCGAAATTCTAATTACTGGAAACTGTGCAGGGGTCTCCAGTTCCAGACACACAAACTTACACCCGAGAATGGAGCATCACGGTGGCTCCGGTTTCCTTTCACAGTCCAAATATGTGCAGGTTAGGTGGACTGGCCGTGTTACAGTGTGCAGGATAGGTGAATTAACCACCGGAAATGGGTGGGTCTGGCTGGGATACTCTTCGGAGTGTCAGTATGGACTCGATGGGCCGAGTGTCCTACTTCCACAGTGTAAGGATTCTATGAATTAGCAGTTTTTAAATTCTTAGAAAAATAATCTACACTTATCTTATTAGGTCACAGTCCACACGCTACATACAGTTAATAACTTCAGCTCTTGATGGTACGTCTGGTGGGTGGCAGTAAACATCAGCAACCAAGGCCTGATAACTGACTGAGTCATGATGTCCGACTTTTTAACCCTCGGGGGAAAGTCAGGGCAAACCTGATTCCATAACAGAAAAGAGATGTGACCACTTCCTCCACGAGTGGAACACAAGGGAATACCTTAAATTGTGCCTATTGTCAAACCATCACCCACATACTAACCATTGGGTCTGGGAGGTCCATTCTTGTGATATCACAACCAGTCACCTTGCATCAGCTGAAGCCATTGAAAGAATTGTTACCTTCTCCATCAAACTCTAACTCCCCAAGCCTAAGGGAATCAAAGCTAATTATTTGATGCAAGAATTGCTACACAGGATTAAAAAATGACCTTTGAAAAAAGCTGGTGAATAGGAGTGGAGAAGTTTTACACACTCAAAGAATTAACTAGCACATCAACAACAGAACAATGATTTGGATTTGAGATGCGTTGTCTTTTAGAGATCCTTTAAACCCATTCAGGAATATTTGTTAACCTCAAGACAAACAACACAACTGGAAAGACGTATAATAACGGCCTCCAAAATTAATCATAAACGCTTTTATCCCTGATATCAAACTAAGTCAGGAATCCTCTGGCAATGTGAAATTGAAAATGATAAGATACATTGAGATAAGCTACTGTGTCGAGGATAAGTTACCTTAAGATTTCAAGAGAATACGCTTTTGTAACGCAGAAGGTCCTTTGCACGTGGAATGAACATCCTGAGGAAATGATGAATGTATGTACAATGACAACGTTTAAAAGATACTTGGATAGGTACGTGAATAGGAAAGGTTTGGAGTGATATGGGCCAGAAGCAGACAGGTGGGACTTGTTTAGTTTGGGATTATATTCGGCATGGACTGGTTGATCAGAAAGGTCTGTTTCCGCGTTTTATGACTCTGACTAAAAGTCATTTTAAGTGGTTCCTACCCAAGGTAATGTATCAAGTGAAAAAGGTATATTTCAGTGTAAAATTAAACGTTGAGAAGACCAGTAAGTCCAACATTGCTGTTTTTTGGAGCTGAGATAACATTGAAGAAACGATGTGAGTTCAGGCACAGTATAACATATTTTGGAAGAAGGTACAAAGTTTCCGTCAGACAAAACAGAAAAAAAAAATGAGTTGACCACTTAAACAAAATTCGGAAGATCAACATAATTTGTAAGTGTTAGTCATAATATTGTATTTGACAGTATTGGTTGACTGTGTTTCTCTCTCCACAGATTCTGCCAGACCTGTTGGGCATTTTCAGGGTTTTCTGTTTTTAATTCACATTTCTGGGATATGCCGTATTTTGCTTTTCTGTTGAAGCAATGAGCTGTTATTGTAAATTACCCGGAAACCTAAATATTGAAAAAAGATATAGATGCATGTCGACAGCGTAATGTTGACATTGAAAAGAGCACATTTTTGTTGGAAAAGCCCATGGTGGTAAAAGGAATACAATACCGTATAGGAAGACGAGTCATTTTGGACTCGAAGCGTTAACTCTGCTTCTCTGCCGAGCAATCCTGCCAAACATACTGAGCTTCCCCAGCACTTTGTTGTTTTTTATTTAGAATCCCTATGATACCGCATACTAATAGAGTTCCTGACGATCACCCAGGTTATGGCATTATGAGTCTTGGTCGCCCTGGACTGTTTACTTAGGCGTATGATGCCTGACTTTGTTTGAGGTAACCGCGCTACTCTAGAGTTGAGGGATCAGATGGTATTTAGTCTCAAGGTGGGACTTATTTAATTCCCTTTATTAACCTCATTATAAAGTCATAGGGGTTGACAGCAAAGAAAAAGACCCTTCGGCCCATCGATTCTGTGCCAGTCGATTTAAAAAAACACCGTTTGTTAAGTTGTTCAAATTTCGTTTGCGTGCAGTCGTATTTTCCTCTTTACAAGCAGCGAAAAATAAGTTGAAACTCGGCTTTTACATTCGAATCTTTCCAAGGTCCAGCTGATTAGTCAATATCTTCAGGAACCTGTAGGAGCTGGACGGGGATG